TCTCCTTTTTTTATATTACTGTACTGTAAATAACAATTACTTTTTATTTAATTTTTTTTTAATATCTAAAATAATCTTTAATTATTTTTAATGGTATACAGTATAGTGGAACCACAGTTTTTGTGGTCAACAAGAAAACCTTCCTCAGTCATTACCCATTAATCATTACCCTTCCTCACTGTCTTCCATATGCCAACAAGAGTCCTCAATAAAGGTAAGGTACCTAAGAGTATTACAGTATTCTGTATAAAATGTATTTTTAGTTAATCCATTTCACACCCCAAAATATATTAATTCAATTTACATTGTCTTATGGGAAAATTAGTTTCGGTTTCCATACCGTCTCTGGGAACATTAACTACGAAAACCGAGGTACCACAGTATATGGTAAGAGCACTTAATTTTATATATTTAATAAAAATAGGCAAAAATAATTTTTTTTACAATCATGGCTAATAAATCTGTTTATAATTATATATCTTTGGAACAAACCAGCCTATTCTCCATTAGTGTAATTAAATAATTACACCAGATATTTTGTCAAACTTACAAAATATGCTGTTAGAACCAAAAAAGTTTTGTATTGAATTAGCCCAAATGGCAGACTAAAACAATAAAACAGTAACTAGACCCCCTAACCTAATCTGTCCCAGCAATCCTAGGTCCAATATACACTATTTGAGGACTAATGTAGTACATATACGTGCATTACTAGGCCTAGGAATGCTTAAGTTTGGTTGTTAGCTGTTGTTTTCATGCCCTCTAAAATTAAAAGTACAAAATGTCACTGTCAGCTGCAACAGTCCATTTTTGTATGTCCAAATAGTTGTTGTAAGTTTGCCTTCGTAAATAAGGCAAGTTGTAAGTATTTTCATTTTAGGAATATGGGTTTAACAGTTTAGTAATGTGTTACAGTACATGTACTTGGACTATATTTTATAATACAAAGTGGAATCAAATATTATTTTCCACAATGAAAATATCCCCCTCCCCCCAAATTACATATTTAGAAACATAATTAAGCACTTAGGGTATTTTTCTAAAAAAAAAAAAAAATAGTTCTTTGTTTCAAGCTGCATTTTAATGCTCGGTAAGGCTAGAAAAAAAAAATAAGGGTCGCAGCCAAAGGGTGATGACATATCATGCACGACATCTGATGCTGGCATGGAATCCAATATTACTCAATGCAGCCAATAGATGACGCTTATTTTGTTATTCATTTAACACCATCACACACAATATTATTTGACACTATTAAACATTTCTATACCAGAGGATGTGCAGCAAAAATAGAAAGAATGTACAACTGCTGCATGTCCAAGATACACCTCAGTGTTTTGAATACAAGTACCATATATGATTACTCACTTTCTTCTGAACATGTACATCAGAATTTACAATACTATTTACAGTGTAATATTGCAATAACAATGTTTAAATTCTTGTTTATAGCCTAAATGTACAAAACCATTAATTTATAGATGCATGCACACATACATATACACAGATTCTCACACACATAAGCACACACATTAAACAAGACAGTGTCAGGAAATTCGAATATTACTGTTACTAACCTTGAGAAAAAGAAACAAATTGCAATATGAATACTGTATTGATATTAAAGTAAACATGTATTAATGGAATTCTTGCTCAGTCCAACTACACAGTGGATGTTTTGCTTAATAACACTAGCTTCAGTATCAGCACAAGTTAAATGTGTAGATAATATTTGAACTTATACACAAAGTAATCACACTAACATGACTGCATCTATGAGAAAATCCGTAGGAGCACTGTTGAGGGTTCGAACCTGTGTGTGGGAACATCCACTGCATAGGTTCGAACCCTCATCACTGCTCCTACGGATTTTCTCATTTTAACTTATGTTCTTGAAATTGTTAAACATTACATAGGGTCAACCCTAAAAAGTTGTACCATTTAAGTGTTGGGAGCCCTGAATAATATAACGAAGAAATAATAAAACTATTACTCAGCCCTGAATATTCAAGTCATCCCCCCTACACCCATTAGTCATCCTGCAAAGTTTGGCGAGGCTAGCCTCAAATGCCTAGCCTCCAAACTTGGACAGACACAGACACCCTCTTTTATAGATACAGTATAGAAGAACAATACATGGCCTTAATACTGATGCCAATTATCTCAAAATAGTGATGTAATCATTGTATCCCCCAAAACAGAGTAAATCCATTTAACGTTGTAAAATGTATTACAATGCACATGGGCATTATTGTCTGAAATATTCTCCCACTTTGTCCCAACAGTGACATTTTTTGAAGTTTTACAGTATTTAAAAAATATAAAATCTCCCTTTATGCTTACTTCCTATTATAAATTTGTAATATCACATAAGATGAGACATGGTGAGAGCAAAGGAATGCTTATAAATACATCAATGTTAGCAAAATATGTACCAATGCATCCTACCAAAGATTTCACACCAAAACCAGAAAAATCAGTAAATATGCAATTCTTACATCAGTTATCATATTTACACAATAAAAAATATATGCCATGAACCAAAATCATTACCCTACAGTAGACCACAGTACATGGTAATTCAAATTTTCAGGTTGCTTTAATATGCACTGTACTTTGCTAAATGAGTTCAGAATAACCATTAGCATCAACTTTCAGCTAAATTTGCACGATTGATAAATTATGCTGTGTTCATTGAATCACACTAATTATGGATCATATTCAATTGTTTAAGAGTACAAATCAAATTTCAGAGGATGTGATTTTGCTAATCTGAGCCTTAACAACAAAGGTGGATGTAATCAAGAAACATGTAGGCAAGTTCTTGCAAGAAGTGCTGGACCAACCAGGCTGTAGTGGACCTGCTGTTCGCTCCAAGCAACAGCTTGTTGGACCAAAATATCCGTAGTCGAGCCTGGCCTCAGGGAGTAGAATCCCCAGAACCCTCTCCAGGTATGTAACAGCTTTATTGACAAAATACACAATTTCACCAAATATGAGTAATTTATGTAGGTCTTATTACAGTGAGGTGCTGCTCATATTCAATGCCACATAAGACAAAAGGTCTAACTATGCAGTTACTGTACTTGTAATATGCAAATGATAAGTCACAATAACATGGCTGAAGAGTTTACACCCAATCCATGCATCTGAAAATGAAGAATGGACTACATTTCAGTCTGTCCTGGACCATTATTAAGTGGTGTAATCAAGAGCAGAAGAGAAACAATATAAGGTAAGAGTGAGATGAAAAGCAAGATGAATGTAAGAGAAAGATGAGCATAAGAATTAAGAGAATTTGTTAAAGGAAAGGTTAGAAAGAAGAGAAGGAAAATAGGAAAAAGGTATAAATAAGAAAGAAAAGTAAGGTAAAAATAAAGAAAAGTGCAAGAAGCCAAATGGCAGAGAAAAAACTATTATCATTAAAGACAGAAAGGAACGAGGGGCTAAAGCTAAGTCAGATCACATTAACAATGTTAAGAGCATTTATGTTGTGTGAAAGGGAAGAGTCAACTGCAACAAAGACAATTAAAGTTTACGTTGTCTATCAGAGCCACTTCGACATGATGGCATCTGTTTAGAGTAAAAGTCAGGAAAGATTATTTTAGAAGATCAATCTATAAGATGATTAGAGTCCCTAACATAATAGAAGAGCATTGTTTGTGTCTGCAGCTTTAACACTTATTTTGTGCTCTTTCAGTCTATCATTCAATGTATGGCTAGATACACCAAATTATTGAAGAGGACAAGATGAACAGGAAATAGTAACCAGCAGGCGACGAGTCACAATAACGTGGCTGAAGTATGTTTACCAGACCACACACTAGAAAGTGAAGGGACGACGACGTTTTGGTCTGTCCTGGACCATTCACAAGATTCGACATAAAAATGGTCCAGGCCGAAACATCGTCGTCCCTTCACTTTCTAGTATATGGTCTGGTCAACAGTAACCAGTAGCATTTAATGACTTTATTTTGCTGATCACTGGTCTCACTTTTCTGTTTAAAAATTTTATATCTATATTAATAATCTACATCTTGTGTGGGACTTTATCAAATGCCTCTTATCAAGATCCGAACAGATGAAATCTGTCTATACGTCTTTCCTGAATGAAAATTAATTTGTTACACACATGACCCAGTTCAAAAACCATACCGTCTTATTATGGCAGTTCTTTAAAGATATTCTACCCATTTAACTTAGTTTCTCTAGTGATTTGCTTTAATGGGTCTTTTGTCACTATTTCCATAAATTTGGATATTTGCTTATTTTCAGTTTGTAATGTAGCGAGTAGATTATCCCAATAATATACTCGCTCCAAATGCATTGTTAATATTCCTGTCAACCTTTGGAGATGAATGAGGTGAGGCGTTGCCGGGGCAACACGGTGAGGTGTTGCCCGAGCATATAAGCAGCGGTGTAGCGAACATTGGCTAGTCTACTTTCAAGTGTGGTTTAGAGCAGACACTTGCGTGATACTGTACCGACGCTCAGTGCGCTCAACTCACACCAAAGTATCACCGGTGTACTTCTGTATATTCGACCAAATATATATATAGTATCTTAGTGTCTGTGTTTATTTGTCACCATACTTTAGGTAACAATAGAACCGTTACAGTAATGATTTCTGGAAAATAATTTGCAATTGGTTACTAGGTGCATTCTCTACCCCCTCAGTACCCATGGGGGAGGACAAAATGTGAGAGTATTGTATATACTAGTCTAGACATGCTGGCAGGGACGATCTCGTCTACTAGCCCCTAGCTTCCAAACGCTTGCAGGAAACTCTTCCAATATTAATGCAATGACTCAGTTCCCACTTTTTTTTTCATATTTACATTTAAAATCTTGTACCAAGTTAACTTTAATGAATTCATCTATTCATCTAATTTATTCAACTTCTTAATAACCCAGAAAAATGTTCTTTCTGCTGCAATTCATTTTTCTCCATTTTCTATCCATGACCTTCATTCTGCCATTTCTAGGTTTGAACACTGCTGCTTTGTCTTTGTCAATTCATCTTAAAATTTTATAAGAAATAAAATCCTCATTTATAAATGGGGAAAAAAAGGGAGAAAGAAGAACTCCTCCTCTCCTTTCCTCCAGTGTGGTGAGGCGGCCTGGTCTCTGTCTTTTTTCATAGCTCAAACCCATCAGCTCAAGAAAGAGACTTCTTGTACATCTTTCAACTTTAGAGAAAGTTTACTTGCCCCTTTTCTTAATGAAGGTATCATGTCAGGGCTCAATATAGCAATCATAAAGTGTAGTTAGCGCAGGTTTATTCTTGATGAGCGAGTGAACTATTCGGATGTCACCAGGTGTACTGCCTGCCAAATAATGTTGCCACAAGGCAGTTTAGTATTAGCTTTAGTATTTAGTTTGGATATAGCAGACATTCGGAACAATGAAATTCAGATCAATCGATTTGCTCTGTACTATGATATAATGTCATTAACCATAAATTAGGTGATTCATGAAATATATTTTATATATATATATATATATATATATATATATATATATATATATATATATATATATATATATATATATATATATATATATATATATATATATATATATGCTGAATTAACTAGTCTACTGTAGTTTTATTAAAAAAAAGTATCATGGTACTAGAAATATGGGATCATAATTTGTGGCAATATGAAAACCATACTGAAAATTATAGTCTACACACAGCTCTACACTGACTGTTAGTAGCCTTGAAAAATATTCATTGAAATTTTTCACAATTGTCAGATTTTTGCTCAGATACAAACAGCAGCTCCAACTGGTGCAACCCAATCTCTTATCTTTTATTTCGTAACTGCATCAGTCAAGTTTAAAGGAATTAATTCGTAAGCAGTTAATAAGTACTGTACTGTATTGTATTACATACTAATGTCTGTCTACCAGTAAATAAGCATACTGAAATTTAAAGGAATCATCTTGTCTGTGTACAGCCTTTTCAACCGGGGGTTTTCATCTATTCTAAAATATTATCTTGCACAAGACAACTACTCTCTATAATAATATAATCTTTTAATCACTAGAGAATGCCAGCATTCACTTATTTTCTGTAAGCAGAAAAATCCATACTGCTTTACTTTTGTCTGATGCACTATCACCACCAATATATTATTCACTTATTTTATGGAATTACTTCTGCTACTGTCTTATTTCCTCACCAATTGGTTAAGTTCAGATGGTGGCTTCTGGTAATTTAGGGACACCAGTGGCATTCATGTCCACAGATACTTCGGAACTGATAGTTGCAACATTTGCTGTTGCTGCAGATACCCCAGAAGTGCTGCCATGGTCTCGCTGAGCAAAATGCCGTCCGAGGATTTTAACAGCCGAGTATCTTGCTCGCTGGTATGCACTGAAGGTATTGAATCCTAAAAACCTGTTTGAATATAAAGATTTTATGAGTATTTTAACAATCACGGACAGATTAAACGTATTATTTCAAATAAGAATGGCTTTTTAATAGTTGAAAGCCGTTATATTTCATGCTATATGACATCCACCAGTACAGAGTTTAACATAAAACTTTCAAGGCATCATCTGAGGCCATGTATTTCCAGTCACAAGTGTACCAGACTTCCAACTGTTTCTTCAGCAAGTTTACTTGATATATGTGAACTATTGTATGTATCTGCAATGAGTATAATTCGTAAACAGCTATTGAGAGAAATCACAAGAGAACGAATAGTTGGAGTTTACTGATCAGACTTTGAAAGTGGGTAATTACATTTTAATACTGATGTATACACAGTAATCCAAAATGTTACTGAAAGAATTAAATATTTTTAAATCACCAATATGTTTCCTAAATAATACTGTAGTTGGTTGCTATCATGAAGCAACCATCAAATTCAATGAATGCACATCAAACTAAATTCAATACAGTGAATTCACATCACAATCATCTGCATTAGCATCAACGACTGGCAAGAAAGGAGAAGGCCCCCCCTCCAATGGAGGAAGAGCTTAGTTTAGTGTACAAGTAGTACCAGGGTGAAAATAAAAATCATATCTGACAAATTAACATGTTGCAGAGTCTGATCTTTAATCCTTTTGCTCCAAAGGCTGGATACACAGGATTGCATAACTATTGACTACAAAAGTTTTAATTTACCTAATGGCTCTCTAAATACAGTTAAACAATACAAATAATGTTTACAATGATGATCCTGCTAACCAATGGGTCTTGGTCCTGACCCTATTCAATATGATGAAATTAAATGTACACAGTAAAATTAATGCAATGTATATAATCCATGGAAATTTTTGGCTATTATAGGCTCGAGGACTGAAATGATTATCGAGTTGTAGTGGTTCATGGACACACATAAGAAACAAAGATAATAATGGAAATATGGCAATAATTGTCATACATAGATGATGTAATAGCTTCAAGAAATGTAGTGTGTAATGTGTACTTCACCAGCATTATGTATTCTTACCTTAAACAAACATATATGATTAAGAGAGTGGCTCCAGCAGCCAGGGATCTAATGTAGGCATCATCGTACATCTGAACAACAGCCCAAGTACCCGCTATGGTGCCACACATGACCGTGACCAGGGAGGCAGTTTGCAGCCAGTGCCGTGCTGTGAACCCCTGGCCAATCCACCATGCCCGACCCTTCTCCAGCTGATACACTGCCCCACACACTTTGCATGATAAATTTTCTGAAGAATTCTCAGCACACTGGAATGATAAAATCATTATTTTAGTATTTACAAAAATTTAGTATGAAATTCTCCATGTGTTACAGTCATTACAATACTCCTCTACTCACTAACCACTCAAGCCACTACAACATAAAAACATAAAATAGCTGTAAAAAAGAATACTTATAAGCTAAATAAATTAGGCTGTATAATTTACACACTATAATCATATAAGAAGTGATAGAAGAAGGCTAGATGAAATCAGCCAATTAATAGTGAATGTGACCTTTTCTGAGCACTCTCACTCGGTTGCTTCCTTGGATAGGATTCCACTGTCTCGGTAGATATTGTTACATGTAGTCAGGGAGAGTAATATTCTGAAACTGGTGCCGCCGACACTTTTAATCCAGTTCCTGAAAAGTTCACAATAACACTAGGGAGAACTGGAGAATACCATCTAGTTTGGGTGATCTCTAGAAGGCACAAATGAAATATACTGTCCTCTTTGGCATCACAAACAGCAATGAATGCTCTAGCAAACCAGCTGGCCTGCCCAGTCACCTACCCTGGCCACTACTAGATGGCACTACCATATATACAACAGGACTTTCCCTGGCATGCCACCTCACATTCTTCCTGACAATTGTCCATTCAGTTTGGCAGGCTTTGACCAAAACTAGGTTAATAAACTCACGTTCTCAAAGGGTCAGGCCAGTAACCCCTGTAAATGAATCGAGCCATGATGGAGTGTTGAATGTGACTGTTTAGAATTTTATGTGGGAGAGATTGTACCTTGTAAATTTAGTTTCCTTGTTCATGAATAACCTTTATTTTGCAAATGACACAAATGATGGTGTTCAAAATTTTCTCAAAGTGAGCATTCCTACCATATGTCCGAGGACTCGCTTGCCTACTTGACTCCTAACATCACAACAACCGCCGGCCAGGCCCAAGCACAACCCAACAACCCCAACCCTAGTACTCCTCGCCCCCAGGCCTCAACCAACGCCCAGGAGACTCCAAACTCCCTGAACAACCCCGGCCCCTCCACCCCGACATCCTGGGAAACACCTATGTCCACCCTTCCTGAAACAATCCCACATCAGATCGTCCTCAAAGCTATCACAAACTCCCTTGCCATACGGAACCCCATCCGGGGCCCTAGGAAATTTCGCTTCAAACACTGCAGCCCCACAACAATATATTCCACACAACGCGGTACCAAGAGGCCTAGGACCAACACTTACAGCCGAACCCCATCCCCTGTGGACGGAGCAAGGGCAAGCAGCCCCCACAACTCTCCACCAGAGAGCGACTCTAGCACCACGGATGTCGACATCATGAACAGCAGTGACACCGAAGACCCCTCAATGGCACAGCAACGTATGGAAAACCCCAACCCCAACCAATCCCCGACCGGAACCAGGAACAAGATACCTGGCTCAACAGCTTTACCCCCCTCCTCCACAAACAGAAGCGACCAAACCGAATGTAATAACATTGGCACTACAGCCAAACAAACACTTCCGTCTCATAGTCAATAATGGGGATCACAATCCTTCAGGTGAACATCAGACATTACTTCAACAACAGATACCTACTCACTCTGGAGGTAGCCAGACTTAACCCAGATGTTGTCTTACTCAATGAAACAGCGGCCAGACAAGACCAGCACATCTCCATCTGGGGATATTCCACCAGGGAAGTCAACAGGGGTAGGTACAGTGGGGTGGCAATACTAATAAGAAGAGGGCTCTCCTACCGCCCCATCCTCATAGAAGACGACAACTTTCTTGCAATAGAACTCACCACTTCACACGGCCCCCTCATTGTCTGCACCGCATATCTACCACCTAGACTGGCCTACCTCCCCTCCATCCCTCTGAACAAGCTGCTCGACAGGAACCTCCCCACTATCATCGCAGGAGACCTGAATGCCCACCATCAGGCCTTATTCAACGCTCCTGACAGGCCAGACCTCAAGGGCAGGCAGCTCTTCAATCTAATGCAAAACCGGGACCTCTCCTTCCAAGGCCCCCACTTTAAGACGTTCTTTGCGGGCAACCATAGGGGCACCCCGGACATAGTGCTGACCAACAGAGATTGTGACCTGTTCCACTGCAGAGTAACCCCAGGCAAGAACGTGGGGTCGGATCACATCCCTGTGGTCACATCCCTCCAAGCAACCCCCTTCAGATATGTGGCACCATCCAGGCCCAGATTGGAAACCATACGTGCCCGTGACTATGACACCTTCCTTGCTGGCGACCCCATCCTTGAGTTCGACAACCTCCCAACCCAAACAATCGACCAAGCAGTAAACACCATCCACAACCGGATCCAGCTTGCAACCGAGGCCACTTGTGAAATATCCACCACTAGGACTTACCACCAATATAAGCCGACCCGAGAAATCAGAGGCAAAATGAATGCGTACCAGCGAGCCTGCCAAAGCCACTACCAAACAGGCCAGCCACCAGCGTTGACCCTACAAACACTCAGAAGGGAAACCATAGACCTTACGCTGACCCACAAGAGCCACATTTGGAGAACCCTAGTGAGACAGGCCAACCAGTACAAAAGGGAGCCGGGAACTTTCTGGCGCAAGATCAGACAGCTCCTGGGATCGGTTAACCCCAGCCTCACCCACCTTGTACATACATTCCTTGACGAAGATGAAGAGGAGCAACAAGAAAAAATAGAAGACCCGCAGGATCAGGCTGACCTCATGGGCGCAGTTTGGAAAAAGACACTCACAGCTTCAAACAGCAGAGCCTTCAACAACACTCACTTTGAACGTGTCAACCAATGGACAACAGAAAATGCCGCCTCCCTTAACAGCACCCCTCTGATTGACCTGACAACCCTAGAAGACGACCACCCTTTAACAAGACCCATAACTATGCTAGAGATGAGAGGAGTCATCAAAAACACCAGAGATAAGGCCCCAGGACCATCAGGGATCAAAGCGCTGCAGATCAAACTTCTACCAGGCAATCTTATGCAATCCATACTCAACCTATTCAATGCTATGCTGGCATCGGGTCACATTCCTGTAGCATTCAAGTCAGCCAAGATGATATTCATTCCCAAACCCAAGAAAGACCCCCACCAACCTGGCAACTACCGACCAATCTCACTCTTAGACTCAATAGGCAAGTGCTTTGAAAAAATCATGTCAAACCGCCTTAACTACTACATGGAGTACAACAACCTCTTCACAGAAAAGCAGTTTGGCTTTCGAGCACATAGATTAACCCAGCACGCAATTAACATCATCTACGACGCCTTAAGCTCAATTCGCAAGCAAAAACAGGTAGCCTTGATTGCGACGAGGGACGTACACAAGGCCTTCGACAGCCTGTGGCACGATGGTCTGGTGTACAAATTAGCAGACTTACCAGCGCAAAACTGGACCCTCCTCAGGCTGATCAGTAATTTCCTTAAGAATAGGCAAGTTACCCCCAGCTTCAAGGCAAACGAGGCCGCAGCCTTCACCCCAACAGCTGGAGTCCCCCAAGGATCATGCTTGAGCCCGGTTCTCTTCAACATCTTTGTAAATGACCTGCCCCAACCAGAGTATAGGGACACCATTATCGTGCAATTTGCGGACGACGTAACACACGTAATAACATCTAACCCTAGCAGCCAAGCGGCCAAACATGCAACTGCAACCCGTAAGGCAAACGTAGAACTAGCAAGGACTGCTAACTGGGAAAGGAAATGGAGGATCACCACTAACCCAGAAAAGATTCAATTAAGCACTGTCGGCTGTATGGCCTTCTCAATTGAAAATGAGGGGGGAATAAGAATCAGGGGTGAACCCATAGCCATCTCAAACTCCAACACAGTGCTCGGTTACAACTTCAACAGGCTACTCAACTCCTCCCAGTACGTATCCCAGAAGACAGCGATGGCCCGGGGCTCACTGGCGAGGCTCTTCCGTTTCAACCAAGCCCCATCCCACATCAAGCTCCACCTGTACAGAATGATCATAAGGCCTAGCTTGGAATACCCATACGTTCCCCTGAACCTCACCAACAAATCCAACATGTTGAAGATTCAACGAGTACAGAACAAAGCACTTCGCTTTGCAGAGGGCCTGACTCTGAGGGACAGGGTGAGAACTGACCTGATCCATGAGACGCTCAACATGAAGCCAATGAACATTAGGCTCAGCTACCTGGCCAGAAGACAGCTGTACCGTATGAAGAACATGTATGTCCCAGACCCAGAAGATCCCTTCGTAGCAGAAAACACCACCAGCGACTACGAGATCCACGAACCACCACACAGAACCAGAAGAATCACTCTCCAACAAAAAGTGATCAGACATATCCATGATGAGGCCTTCCCAAGCCCTCAGATACTAAGCGGTCTGCCAGACGATCCAGATGAGTGGCCCATCCCGGACCCAATCTACACCAAATGAAGAATAAAGAAAGAAAAAAAATAAATAAATAAATAAAAAAAAAAAAAAAAATAAATAAATAAAAAAAAAAAAAAAAAAAAAAATAATAAAAAAAAAAAAAAAATATATATATAAATAAAACACCTACAAAAAATATAAAACCAAAAAACCATTTGTCGTGGCGTCAGAAGTGTAACTACCCTGATGTTTCTAAGATTAGCCTCCTTCAGCCAACTCCATCGGCTCTAGTGCTTTAGGACACCAACAAGGTCACAAACACTAGCCCCCCCAGCCAATGTACTGACAACCCAACATAACACACACGCAAACAAACAACACATACAAAAATGTCAACCCATGGTGGACAGGCCACCGAACTTTCAAACCTCCTCTCTCTCTACACCCGCATCCTCTTCCTGAATTTCATCTCCCCATCCCTCTACCTCCCCCATCCTTTCCATTCCCTATGGACATCAAAGCGAAGCATTCCTACCTTCCAACATTCAAAGAACCTTTCTCAAAATACTTCACACCAATGAAATCTAGCAGTGCTGCTAGAAGTTCAAATATTATTTCAGAAGTGGAAGATAATAGCAATACCCTTGATGTTAAAACATTTCACATCCTGAGTGGAAGGAAATATTGTAATTCTACATTCCCCTTGAAATTGAAATAAAAGAAAATGTGGACATTGAACCACAATGCCCAATACTGTAATGAAAGGTGTTAAGATAGTACAGCAAGACTTTTTTCAAGATATAGAAAGAAATTTTTTATGGGACTACATTGTTAAATATCACTAGCAGTCACGTGTTGCTAAAATTGAAGCATTTTATGTTTTAAGTCAATATGATGAGGAAATTCCAAGATACAGTACTGAGCTGAAACCTGTCAAAGAATGAAAACCAAAAACTGACAAAACCATTTAAATTATTATTTTACATAATTTCACACACTAAGAATTCATAAAAATTCAAAACCAAATACCAGTGGAAACTCGGTTGATGACTGCCCTAAAGTATGAATTTTTTGGTATATGACGTCAAATTCATCGTAAAATTTGAATTGGTGTACGACGGTTTACTTGGAAGACGACGTCTGTTCATACGCGTATAGGTCAAACAAGCGCTTGGTACTGGGGGCGCGGGGCGAAGCACTCCGTTTACAAGTCTATCCTGGGTAGTGAAAACCATGGCCGAATTCTTTGAAAAAGCTTGAATTCTTTGAAGAATTTCATTTTTGCCTGCCTTTTTTTTTCCTTTTTAACATAAAAGTTATATATCACGCCATGGGTCCCAAGAAAGTTGGTGGTAACGTTCAACCTAAGAAAATAGTTGCGAGGATGATGATAGAGGAAAAACAAGAGATCATTTATAGGAAGACAATGTGATGTCTCATCTCACTACAGACAAGTGTTAAAATGTAGGGAAAAACAAGTGTCTACAGACAGATTCTTAGCAAGACATGCAAGCAGCAAGTCACAACCAAGTCCTAGTGGTATGCCTGCAAAACGTAAGAAAGGGAAAACCCCAGAAATGTCATCACTGCTGTTATAATGGAAGGGGACTCCCAAACACTAACACCTCTCCTCCTCCTCACCATCTTCCATACACCAACAAGAGTACTCATGCAAGGTAAGATCTACATACCTGTACTGTATTGTAGCTAGTACAAAGTGTCATTCGGCATAAAATTTATTTTCAAGTTAATTAATATTTTTGTGGGTGTGGAACAGATTAATTCAATTTACATTTACATTATTTCTTATGGGAAAATTTGTTTTGGTTCACAACACGTCTCTGGGAACGGATTACGATCGTAAACGAAGTTACCACTGTATACATATCCAGTTCTAACCTCCATGAGCCATTTACGGAGGCAATTATGGTGCACAGCGCCAACATCACCCCGGCAGTCACACGGCTGGATGAGAGGGCCTGCATCTGTGCGTTCTGTGTCATAGCATATCCAGCATTCTGCACTTCCCTCGCCAGAGACTCCTTCACCTATGAAAATATGAACATTAGTAGTACAATAGGTGTCTGACAGAGTTAGCTGCTTATATTTGGCCAAAAAGTCCCAATAATTATATTAAAATTTCTAATAAGCTAATTGAATTCCTATGCAAATTTATAACATTAATACTGTACCTGTACTTAACTTTGTGTTCAATTAAAGGACAAAATTAGAAGCTTATGAATTAAAATTAGGTATTAATGTTCTAAATAAATATATTATAATCTGTGTCTCAAGTACAGATGACTGAAATATCAAAGATACTGTAATTCTGTGCAAATAATTGACTTCTCAAACTAATACAATATTATACTACAGTAAATAATATAACCAACAGATTACCTGTTGTAGTTATATCATTACAGGCACTAATTCTTAGTGACTGTAATATTTCTCAGAGGCATCTATCTTTCTCAGAGGCACAACAACTAAAGAGGTTCATCATCATCATTATTATTATTATTACTCCTCAAAATTGCAATTAGTCTCAGTATAAAAAGTACTAACTATTTTCTATCACTAATAACTTTTAATACTCATTTCCCACATTACAGAGGAACAATGGTGAGGCTCATAGGTGAACCCTTATGGTGAAGCTTGTCAAATAAGCCCCTTTTATGGCAAGCTTATTAAGTGAACCTTTTTAATGTTGAGACCTGTGAAGCAAGTCACCTTTTTTACAGTGAATCTGGTTATATGATCTGCTTTGAAGATGTATTAAAATAATGAAAGATAAGTATGACACTGATATATAATATATCCTGAGCAGATTTGCTCTTAAGTAAATCACATTATTGTGATCTTGTGAACTGATGGAGAAGTATGTCTCCTGGCCATTTATTTTGTCATCTCTCAGTATGAACTTTTTTTTCCAAATTAGGTGACTAGTCAATAGTTAAGGCTTTTTGTTTTTAATTTTATTAACCAAATATTATATTCATGAGTAACTGTCAATACATTATGCATCTTCTTTAATTATCCTCACATCCTGGTGCACAATTGAATACCAAGCTTTTCAGATATTCTACCAGACAAGGTTTCAAATCTAAGTAATTCTATAAAATTGTAATTGCACATAAAATTCCAAATATTATTTGGAATTGCCTAATAATTTAAAATTGCCATGCTAATATACATAGTTCCTAACATACAACATTAATTGCTAAAACAAAAAAATTCAATTCTTACCGCTTTGCGTTACAGGTTGCCCAAGCTCCAGTGATCTATCAATGTCAAGCCTCTTCAAAATTTTTTTAGGATTAAGGATCCACAACTGTTCTGGGGACATGCAGTTCCACAAGACACACGGAAACCATAATGCCACCCCAAGCTCCACGACACGAAAGATAATGTCATATGCATTTCTAGACATTAGTGGAACCCTGAGGAAATGTATAAAATACAGTATTAAAAAATTTAATTTATTATATAACTAAGTTTGTAAACAGGACGGATCTCGTCGAAACCTTTAATAAACTGAACAAATTGGAAGATATTAATACCCAGTACAGACTACTTTTTGATGAGATTGTGCAACTTGCACAAGGGGCAATAGTTTCAACCTCAACAAGTCACAATGTCACACAGACAACCGATACTATTTTATCCATGGAATCACTTACTTGCCAAAGCCATAAACACTAAGACGGTACTGCCCTGTACTTCGGTTCAAAACTCTTCGGTTCAAAACTCGACAGGAAAACATCCACAAGAAAAATGGAGAAATCTTTGGAAAGTCACTAGAGTTAGAGGCCCTCACATGAATTACTACAGGTTACTTACAGCAACAATTTTGCATTTGCAGTGCATCTATTAGCATAGATGGTCACAACCCGTTGGTGTGGGCTCGAGTTCCAGATAGGCCAATGTTTCCTAATGTGTTGCCTCTGTCCCCTAGCAATAAATAGGGTCACATCCTGAACAATGGTTAGTCACTGGCTAGGAAGACCTCAATAAGCTTATCAGCTTCCAGTCTCTGACAGGCGATTGACAACTGGTGCTTGTTGATGACCACTGACATCACCCTAACGTTTATTTCCTTTACATCTGCTCGAGTTCAACAATACCCCATCCACTGTGCAGAAACAGCATTTCAACAAAATAAATGTGAAAGCTGTTAAAATGTGCATCTCTAATTAAAATTACATAGCAAGTGTTTAACCAGTTAATGGTAACATTAAAAATGACAAATTTATTTTTCTTTATAATTAACAAACTTTTAAGCTTGTGAGGTATTAAGTGATTTTTCCAGCTCTTTTGTATGCCTGATAAATAAACCCTGAACTCCTTTTAAGCAATATTTGGTCAATATGTATTCAGTATACAAAAGTTAAGCCAACACTTCATATCCTTCAGCATGTGGTACATGTCTGAGTCTTTAGGAGATGGCTAACAACTGATATCAAACAGTTCCTGAACTTGCTACCCTGATCTATAAGTGAAACAGCATAAAATGTATTATAGTTTTTCTTTACCTAAATATGAATTATACAGATGAGTCACAATGTGGCTGAAGATATGACCAAACCAATCATCAGAAAATGAAGAAACAACGATGTTTTGGTCCGTCCTGTATCATTACCAAGTCGAATAATGGAAAAAGTGGAAGAAACAATAAGGCAAGAAAGTGAGATGCAAGGTGCTCCTCACCTTGTTAAAAAAGGTAAAGAAAGAAAGCTAAACTATTTCCATGTGACTTTATGAAAGAACCATCTATTTTTTTACATTGACTCATTTCTTATTTAAGACAGAGTCTAAGTCTAGCTCCCATACTCACTCATCAAAATTAGAGATATGCAGGCTAATGGTATTGCTGTTTCTGAATGATAATCCTTGCATATCTTCATGGAAGACTGATAATATGTAGGTCTGAGATATCTTACATTCCGGGTCAAATTTGGAATAACACTTTAGAACTTGGTTTGTTGCTTCATGCCATTGAGAGCTTCCATTAAAAGCAGTTTTAATACAAACCTTTTCTGGAAGGTAATAATATAAGAACTGTTGTCATGAAATGCAGACACTAATGAAGATAATGAATAAAAGGCTTTTATTCAATTTGTCTTACCTATTTTTCCAAAATCCTCCCAGCACATCAGAAAAGAGGAAGCAGACAGTGATCATCAACATACAGGCTTGAAACACCAGCCCAAACCGGGACTGATGAAGCTGTGATTGATCAATGCCTCTGTGTGGAGGAGCTTCACCAGTAAACTCCCCGACCACCTGTAACTTGAGAAGGATAACATTTGAAACCTTGACAGAACGAGGTACAGTTCCTAAACAAATTATTACCACACATCACAAATCATTTAAACAAAAGGAAAATGGTTCAAAAAACAAACTTGGATTGTAGACAGAAGCACAACTTGAATACACAAAATATAGTCAACATCACAAAACAAAATTGACTGCAAAGCTACAAAACCACATCCAAATTTGCCATAACTGAAGAGTCAATAATACTGCTAAAACATAAATTAATACTGTATATATATGCATGTGATAATTTATTTAAAATTGCCAATTATTTAGACGATACTTAAAAATACCAGAAAATTTGAAACTTAATAAAAAGAAATGCTAAAGTGCTAATAAAACGTTAAGGTATATGCTTCAAACACAAATGCACCTCCAGTTCGACACGTAACACACCTGCTCTGCCACAAGGCGTTGGGTGGATGGATCCTGTTCTTGCTCCCTTGAAGGTTTAACCACAGATGGTGTTGATTTAGAGGAAGACTTCTTTGGGGAAGGTACAGTGAGAGGATCAAGTGAGGATGAGGATGGAGATTGTAGGGAATCTGGATCAACAGGATCAAGGAGGGGAGGAAGGTGATGGTCTTGGGGAGGGGTTCGAGAATGAACGTTGCCCACAATAATGGTGTCACTTACGAAGCCCCCACGTACCTACAATACAGAAGACGCCCACATCAATTACAACACAAACCACAGGTAACTAGGCCTTAAGCAACAATATTACCAAGTTCTCGTTTAACACACAAATCATTCATGAATCAGGTATTTTATATTTTTTTACCACATATAATAATCTAAAGTAATGCACAGTGTAATGAGAGCTTTTATATATTAATTTACCTTGAATTTGGATACCAAAGGACCGGGAGAACATGTCCAGCTCATATTGTCCTAACAACTAGTCACTTCAAAATATACCAGTAAAAATTTAAACAAACACACTGCTTGATAAGCCTTGTGAGAATGGTCCAGGACTCGTCTCTTCATAATCATATAATGTGTTCGCCTCAAATGCTTGACATACCTTTTTCTGGCCCTAAAATATCCTACATTAACTAAAAACTAAAAGCTTTAGCTTCCCATTGCCAGGAACAACAAGCCTGTTGGGGATGATCAAAGTGCTCTTAAGCCAATGATAATCTCTAGGGTGCAACCCACAACAGTTACCAAATTTCTCAGTACTTATTTACTAACCACTGGTACAGGATAGTGAACAGTGCACTCACTTCAGATCCCAAAGTTCACAGGTTCAATTCCCACACAGAACATAGATGTTTGGGTAATACTTTGATATTATACAACTGCTGTGGACTACATCATGGAAAAGACAAGTCATTGGCCTAGGTGGGGTAGGGACCTCAATAAGCCTAACAAGCTCATTTTCCTTAGCAATGAGAAACAAAATCAGCAGCAGCATTAAAGACTAAAAACCTAGGGAGGGTGAACATAATAATAAAGTACGCACCTTAAAGTACACTTCAACTCCATATATTAAGAAGAACACGACTACTATGAACAGCAAGACAGCATAGCAGCCATTAAACACGTGACTTAAAAAACTCTGAAAAGGACGAGACAAATGTTACAGTCGACAACAATATTATTGTTCCCAAATGACACAGGTGGAATAAACAAAATCTCACAAAGTTTAACATAAATCGATTTGGCAGTTATTCATGAGACAAAAAAAAATAATGATTAAAAAATTACTTAGACGATAGCCTCTATCTGTATAACTAATAATTTTCCTAAGCAAATTCATCATCAGCATAACTTATTTACATTCACTCTTTCACACACAGCTAATAATAGTTTGTATTTTTTCTAAATTCCAACTAAACTGTACTGTACAGGGTACTCCCAAAATTTATATATATAAAAAAACTTACTGTATGTAATTTTGTCTATTTTTTATTCAGATATGCAAGTCCAAGCCAAGAAGCAAACTTCTTCAGCCATTATCTGTGGATGCTTGTGTACAGTATTTGCATCTTTAGCATATCTGATTTACCCAATTTACCCAAGAGCCACTAACCCTAGTGGCCTCGACGAGGACAGGAAGCCAGCGGCTTGTCGAAGGTCCCCTCATTTGCCTTTATGATCTTTTCCAGGTAGATTATAAAACTTTACACAGTTTTGGCATTTAGTTTTGGCAGGAAGGCAGTTCCATGGGTTTATAGATCTGTGGGTGAAAGAGCATCTCCTGTTCTCAGTCCAACATTGTGGCTTGACGAGCTTGAAACCGTTGCTCCTTGTTTATGTTACATCTCACCTTTTGGACAAATTGTCCAGATCAATGTCTCTAACTTGTTCAGTATTATAAAAGTTCTAATGAAATTTATTTAATTTTCTATATATTAAAAGTTTGATGCCCTGTCATGCCTGGTTTGCAGAGTTGTTAGCCCTGTGGCCTTCAACCATTCCCGATACGAGAGATGACTTGGCTCAGGAATGACTTTTGTTGCCCGGTGTTGCACTTTCTCCAGAGCAGTCATATTCTGAAAATGAGATCTCCGTGCTTGGATACAGTAATCCAAATGTGGGTTCAGAGATTTATACAGTTGAATCATTACCTTCTTTTCCTAAAAGTCAAAAGTATGCTTGATTATTTCAAAGGTTTAGGTAGCTTTTCACTGCTGCTGGCACCTGTTGTGCAACTTTTAGTGAATGGTGGATTTTAACCCCAAGGTCCTTTTCTTCATCAATCTGGTGTATGTAATGCTGTTAATTTTGTCATTGTGGAGTGTGCTGTTATGCCCAACACGCAAGGTATTTGTCGATATTAAAAAATATCTGCCAGTCTTCTGACCATTTGTAGAGTTCATGTAGATGTCTTTATAAGGCTTCAATATCATCATCATTTCCCACTACCATTGCTACCATAAATCTTTGGGCAATCTGCAAATTTGATGATCTGGGTTGTAATATTCTTATCTATGTCACTGATGTACATGACAAAAAAGGGTAGCCTATAAACCTGCAATTGCTGAACAAACTAGAAAAGAAACCGATTTATAAAAGTATGCATCGAACAGTTCAAATGACGAGAAATGTAGAAAAGCCTATTTGAATGCTTGTAACCAGAGTAGCATGTTAAAAGTATACACAGTATTTGATACAAAAGTGATAAGAGGCTTATCTGGCAGTTTTGTATGATCCCATAATAATGCTGTGCAAGATAAGATGGAACAGTAAATGGGTGACTGTCCTTCACAATGCTGTAAAAGGTGAAAGCATGAAACATAAGAACAATTGGCAAATCATCTGATGACTAAAAAATTTGAATTTATACAGATCTTGATACAAAAAACTGTAACCAGATGAATCTTTACATAAAGTGGAAGGTATACACACAATAGTAATGTGTTAGTAATGCTTAGCTGGTGCAATAGAGCTGCAGAAACTTGTAGAAAAATTAAAGAAATGGGATGAGAAAATGGCAAGAACAGTTTATGAAAACAAAAATGAGGAGTCTGTTGATGTAAATTGAAAAAAAAAAAAAAAAAAAAAAGGAAGGAAGAAAGAAAGAAAGAAGGAAAAAAAAGAAAAAAAAGGAAGGGGAGAGAGAGGAGAGAGAGAGAGATAGAGAGAGAGAGATAGAGAGAGAGAGAGAGAGAGAGAGAGAGAGAGAGAGAGAGAGAGAGAGAGAGAGAGAGAGAGAGAGAGAGAGAGAGAGA